TTTGTGTTTTCTATTCATTATCACACCAAAATAGGGTGGATCTGGAGCTGGGATTGGCAATTTTTTAGAAATTGGGCCATTGGACGTATGTTTGAAGCCCAGAAACTCAACATGGCTGAAAAAAGGAGATTTATTGTTTGTGGTAATTAATAATGACCCTATCCATTAATTAACACATTATAATATATTTATGAGAAATGCTAAGGTTCTGTTACGGAACTATTCTGTCGGGGTTTGTAACCTTTAGATCATCATGTAACCAACTAGAGATAGTTGATCCAACGGTTACAAATCCCGACAGGATAGTTCCATAACGGGAACAGTAGCATCTTCCTATATTTTGATATATATAATGTTTCTATTATGTGGATTTTGGTTTTATAGGATAACCCAGTTGGGACAGGATATAGTTACGTGGAGGATACAAATTTACTTGTGAAAACTGACGATGAGAATGCTGCTGACATAACTACACTTTTGATTCAAGTTGTCAACAGCCAAAAGAGTTTACAAAACAGGCCTCTTTATATAGTGGGAGAGTCTTATGGAGGAAAAATTGCTGTTACTCTTGCTTTATCAGCTCTAAAAGCAATAAAGAATGGAACATTAAAGCTAAAGTTAGGAGGTAATTCAACAACGTATATTTAATTTGGCGAGATTTCGATAGGATTTTGTCTTTGTAATTTTATTAAAAAAAAAGTCTCTAAACGTCTTACAATTTAAAAAGTCTTATTACAAAGTCTTTATACTTTGAATAACGAGTGACTTACTGAGACTCATAGAAAGTTTTAATCGAATACACCGAGACTTTTAGAGATTTATAAAAAGTCTCAATCGAATACATGCAGACTTTTCAAAAGTATCAAAAGTTTCGATCGAATACACCAAAATTTTTGAAAAAGTTATAGTAAAAATCTTTAAGTGAATGATATTGTGTTCATTTATATATTTTAGTGTATAATTAATTTTTCGGGGTAAACAGGAGTTGCATTGGGAAACTCTTGGATCTCTCCAATAGATTATGTGGTAATAATAGTATTTTCTTATTTGAATTTATAAATGAAAAATTCATTGTAAATGAGAAATTATATACACAATCAATTATCATGGTTTCACGTTATAAATTAATTGCAGTTTTCATGGGGCCCTCTGTTAAGTGATGTCTCAAGGCTCGACAACAATGGCCTACTTGAGTCAAACAGGTCCGAAACTTAATTACAAATTTTCGCACATGTTATTATTATTATTATTATTATTATTATTATTATTATTATTATTATTATTATTTTTTTTTTTTCCTATTATGAAAATTAATTTATTTTATTGAATAATAAAAATCGTTAAAAAAAATAGTGTAGCGAACCAAATAAAGCAACAACTCGACGCTGGCAAATTTGCGGAGGCAACTGGTTCTGTTGACAAGCTTCAAGATGTCATCATTCAAACCAGCAATGCCGTGGTAATTTTTCATTTCGTACCAATAATATATTTCATTATTTTCTCTTTTCTGATGAATAATTACAAATATGCAAAACCAAAAATAAATCAGATTTACTATAAAATTTAATCAACGTAATGACATTCTGTTTTTCGAGCTTGTACACTTACAATATGAAAAGAGAAATATCAAAAAAATATTTAGGAACGGGTCAATTGGGTTGACCAGACCGGGTTAAGACCGGATTTGACCGGGTCTATTGTTATCCGGTCTAAATATCCTTCTCAGACCGGTTCCAGCTCTGAATCGGCCGGATCTCGAGTCAACCAGGCAGGCCGGTCCGGATTGAAAAACAATGGTACACTAGCTAAATTGTCCAGGGCACTAAGAGCATGCTTGGATACAAAATTATCTCAAAAAAATCCAAACATTTTTAACTCAACCACTTTTTTAACTCAACCCACTATCATCAATATAATCAATCTAATTAAATAATATCAAATCAATCATTCTTACACACCACATCACCTTAATTCACTATTCATCTACTCACATAATTTTAACTAACCATCACTTCAAATCTCCTCTCTCTTACTTTACATCAAATCAACTTTAATCATTTAATTTTAAATATTATTTTAATATATCCACTAACAACTAACCATACCAACTTTTTCAAAACTAACTAAATCAAACAAAAAAATCCAAACAAAACCAAAAATTTTTATATCCAATCATCCTCTAAAATTCAAAAATTTAGGTTGAGTTCCAATATTTATATGTCAATTTGGTCTTCTACGATGATTTTTCAATTTGTTGTCCACTTATGTCAAAACCAAAAGATAGTCTTTTTTTTTTTATTTATTTTTTCAATTGTAACCCTTTCGCCCAAAAAACTCCAAAACAAAAATTGATTCTGCACCTTCCCCTGCCGATCTCGCGGGCTGCAGCGGCGGTCGTCACCAGCCACGTGGCTCGATTCCCTGAGAGGTGCCGCAAGGAGCCCCAGATATTCGGCGACGCGGGCCACCCTCTAGTGGCCTTCGCCGTCCCGGTTTCCATGGCAGGAAAAGATTCACTGACTTCCCGGCGACTTTGTGGTGGTGGGCTGGTGCTTCTTCGGGAGAGGGCTCGACCTACCTCTTTGTGGTAGTTGCGGTAAAGGTTTGTGACCCTTTCCTTCCCGTGTCTCTCTTTTCCTGGTGCCGGATTGGGGAGACGGCCGAAGAGCCCGGTTTGAGGGCCGTCTTGGTTTCGGGCCTGGTGTTAGTTGCCACCTACCAATTTTGAGTCAAAAGAAGACAACAACCCAGTTCTTTTGATAGCATCACAAAGAAGAAAAATACAACACATCTTTGTGGAAATTTGGTGCATTCTTTCCTCTATAAATAGCTAAGCAATTCAGAGAAACAAATACAACCAAGAAACATAACAACAAAGAGAGAGAGAGAAAAGAGTAGAGAGAGTGTATTCATACGGGCTTGTGTGAGTTGTAACATTCGGTTTATCCTCTTATTCTAGTTCATTCTCCTGGCTTGGTTCGCCCCCAGACGTAGGATTTAATCCGAACTGGGTTAACAAATATTCGTGTCTTTTATTGTTTTCACATTGGTGTGTTGTTATTATTCCATCTTATCCGACCTTATTTCCCAACAACTGGTATCAGAGCCAGAAGGTTGGAGATAAGATGGAGGGAAAGATTCAAGTCGAACGGTTCAATGGTTCCGACTTTGGATTCTGGCGAATGCAAATGGAGGCTTACCTGTACGGGAAGGACCTCTACGCACCTCTTGGGGGAAAAGCCCGAGAAGATGAGCGATGATGAATGGAAGGTGCTCGATCGGAAGGCGATGAGTGCTGTAATTCTTTCGCTCTCTCGGAACGTCGCCTACCATGTGAAGGGAGCAAAAAGCACGAAGGAGGTCTTGCAGACACTCGCCGACATGTATGAAAAACCATCAGCAATAAACAAGGTGATGCTGATGAAAAAGCTGTTCAAATTGCAAATGGAGGAGCGAAAGTCAGTGGCCGATCATCTCAACGATTTCAACCAACTAACGTCGCAGTTGGCATCGGTGGATATTTCGTTTGATGATGAGGTAAAAGCCCTAATCTTGCTCTCATCATTACCGGACAGTTGGGACGTGGTTGTTACTTCGGTGAGCACTTCTTCTGGCAAAGAGAAGATGAAGTTCGACAACATAAGAGACATGATGTTGAACGAGGAGACCCGCAGAAATCAGGCGGGTGGGTCGTCTGGCTCAGCCCTACATACAGAGTCCAGAGGGAGACTCGAAATACGAGGGAACATTCGTGGGAGGTCAAAATCCAGAGGAAGGAATAAAGGCAAGAAAGAGATGGTGTATTGGAACTGCGAGAAGCCTGGGCATATGAAAAGAGAATTCCGGGCACCAAGGAAGGACAAAGAAGGCCAAACAGCCAATGCCGCGACGGAGGACACGGCGGATGCACTCTTGTTGAGTGTGAGAAGCTCACTCGATGACTGGATTGTGGACTCAGGGGCCTCGTTTCACTCTTGCAGTAGCAGAGACATCATGGAGCCATACACCGCAGGTGATTTTGGCGTGGTATATCTTGCAGACAACAAACCCCTAAAAATTATAGGGAAGGGAGATGTGCAGATCAAGTCAGCAAATGGGTCATGCTGGACCCTACGGGATGTGAGGCACATTCCAGGACTGAAGAGGAATCTCATCTCAGTTGGACAGCTGGACAATGATGGCTTCCACACAATGTTTGGAGATGGAAAGTGGAAGGTCAGCCGAGGAGCTATGACTTTGGCAAGAGGGCTGAAGTCAGGAACGCTTTACACGGCGAGTGGATCCAACTCAAACATTCTCCTGGCAGGAGCTGTCTCACAATCGCACTTGTGGCACAGTCGCTTGGGCCACATGAGCGAGAAAGGAATAAAGGTACTAAAGTCGAGAGGACTTTTGCCCGGGTTGGAGTCAGTGGACGTGGGTCTCTGCGAGCAATGCGTGCTTGGAAAGCAGAAGCGAGTGAGCTTCATAACCACCGGGAGAGCTCCAAAGACAGAAAAACTGAAGCTCGTGCACACTGACTTATGGGGGCCAGCACCGGTGACATCTCTTGGAGGATCGATGTACTACATGATGTTCGTCGATGACTGCACAAGAAAGGTATGGGTGTACATTCTGAAAAGAAAAATCCGAAGCCTTTGATACTTTCAGGAGATGGAGAGCACTCGTGGAGAAAGAGACAGGTCTGGAAGTGAAATGTCTCAGATCCGACAACGGTGGCGAGTACAACAGTGAAGCCATCAAGGAATACTGCGCTGATCATGGGATCCAGATGCAGAAGACGGTCCCAGGGACACCTCAATAAAATGGCATTGCGGAGAGGATGAACATGACACTGAATGAGCGTGCGAGATGCATGCGATTGAAGAGTGGACTGCCCAAGATGTTTTGGGCAGAAGCAGTCAGCACGACCGCTTTCTTAATCAACCGAGGGCCTTCTGTCCCACTGAACTACAAAATTCCAGAAGAGGTCTGGAGTGGTAAGGAAGTTGATCTCTCTTTCTTACGTACCTTTGGTTGTTTGGCTTACGTTTTGAACGATGACCGGACAAAGCTGGATGCTAAGTCCGTCAAATGTACATTCATTGGATATGGGACTGACGAATTTGGGTATAGATTTTGGGATGATCAAAATCGGAAAATTATTTGCAGTCGTAATGTGGTGTTCAATGAAGACATAATGTACAAGGACCGGAAGAAATACCCGGACGATGACAAGACCATGCAGGAGTATGTTGGTCTCGATATTTCAAATGCCGGAATCATGAGACCAGCAGATTCAGTGGGAGCTCAGATAGATGAGATCGAGCGTACAGAAGAAGATGCAGAACCAGATTCGAATGAACCGATTGCTGAGAGCAGCACGCCTCTGGCACTGGGCCGAGAACCGAGGATGAGAAGGGCCCCCGGATAGGTACTCCCCTTCTCTTTATTACCTACTTTTATCTGATTCTGGGGAACCCGACTGTTATGCAGAGGCAGTTAAAGATGCCCACAAGAGCAAGTGGGAGCTTGCGATGGATGACGAGATGAACTCGTTAAAGAAGAACCACACATGGGATTTGTGTGATCTCCCACAAGGAAAGAAGGCGCTTCAAAACAAATGGGTCTATCGGGTCAAGGAGGAATCCGATGGAACAAAACGGTACAAGGCCAGACTTGTAGTAAAGGGATTCCAACAGAGATATGGTATTGACTTTACCGATGTTTTTACACCTGTTTTTAAGTTAACCACTATTCGTCTAGTGTTAAGCATGGTAGCGGCGAAAAACTTGGAGTTGCAACAGTTAGATGTGAAGACGGCCTTTCTGCATGGGGATCTCGAGGAAGAAATTTACATGGTGCAGCCAGAGGGGTATAGAGGAAATGATCAGCAGGTCTGCCGCCTAAAGAAGAGCTTGTACGGACTGAAACAGGCTCCTCGACAGTGGTATCGAAAGTTCGATAATTTCATGCTGGAGATTAGATACTCCAGGTGTAATGCTGATCATTGTTGCTATGTGAAAAGGTTCGGTAACTCTTTCATTATTTTACTGCTATATGTGGATGACATGCTGATAGCAGGATCAGATGTCAAGGAGATCGAGAGGCTCAAAGATCAGCTATTAAGGAGATTTGATATGAAGGATCTAGGAGAAGCGAGACAGATACTGGGCATGAAAATCACGAGGGACATAAATGCTGGTAAACTTTGGCTTTCTCAATCTGATTATATTGAGAAGGTGTTGTGCAGATTCAAAATGGATATTGCAAAGCCGGTTGGAGTGCCACTGGGAAGCCAGTTCAGGTTGTCCAACAAGGATTCGCCCAAGGATGACTCTGAAAAGGAAAGGATGAGAATTACGCCTTATGCTTCGGCTATAGGGAGCCTGATGTACGCTATGGTCTGCACCCGGCCAGACATAGCACATGCAGTGGGAGTAGTCAGCCGGTTCATGAGCAATCCTGGAGTGATGCACTGGGAGGCGGTAAAGTGGATTCTTAGGTACCTGAGGGGTACTAAGGACCGGGCATTGGTATTTGGCAGGAGTACCCTTACCCTGTATGGGTTTGTCGATGCTGATTTTGCAGGAAGTGATCTTGACAAGAGGAGGAGTACTACTGGGTACGTGTTCACTTACGGCGGGACGGCCGTATCCTGGATCTCGAAACTGCAGAAGATAGTCACATTGTCCACAACGGAAGCTGAGTACGTGGCAGTGACGGAGGCAGCCAAGGAGCTCGTTTGGCTGCAAAACTTCCTGAATGAACTTGGGAGACCTCAAGAGGATGTAGCTCTATACAGCGATAGCCAGAGTGCAATCCATCTAGCAAAGAATCCCGCGTTTCACTCGCGAACGAAGCACATCGAGGTTAAGTATCATTTCATCCGACAACTTCTAGAGAAGAAGATGTTGCAGCTGAAAAAGGTTCGAGGAGATAGAAATCCTGCAGACATGTTGACCAAGACGGTGACTTTGGAAAAGTTGAAGTTGTGTGTAGCTTCGACTGGCCTTGATGATTAAAACAGACAGACCTGGCAGAACCAAGAGCAGAGATGAACATGTTGATTATTGAGGTGTGAGGACAAATTGAAATCAGTTCTCAAGTGGGAGATTGTTTGTTGCCACCTACCAATTTTGAGTCAAAAGAAGACAACAACCCATTTCTTTTGATAGCATCACAAAGAAGAAAAATACAACACATCTTTGTGGAAATTTGGTGCATTCTTTCTTCTATAAATAGCTAAGCAATTCAGAGAAACAAATACAACCAAGAAACATAACAACAAAGAGAGAGAGAAAAGAGTAGAGAGAGTGTATTCATACGGGCTTGTGTGAGTTGTAACATTCGGTTTATCCTCTTATTCTAGTTCATTCTCTTGGCTTGGTTCGCCCCCAGACGTAGGATTTAATCCGAACTGGGTTAACAAATATTCGTGTCTTTTATTGTTTTCACATTGGTGTGTTGTTATTATTCCATCTTATCCGACCTTATTTCCCAACACCTGGGTGGTCGGTGGTGTTGGGGTGGATTGGGAAGTGGACCTTCGGTTGTGGGTCCTTGGTGTGGGGTTGGGTCGTAAGTTGTGGATCTAGATAGGCGTTTGGCAGTTTCTGGCTTTGCTTATTCGGGCACGACTCGGTGCTTGTGGGTGGTCAGCCGCGGGTGTTGCTGTCTTTGGTCAGCTCAGTGTAGATTGTCGGCAGTGGGAAGGTTTTATTCTATTTCTAGTAGTATTTTAGTGTTTTGTTTTAGGTTTTAGTGTTGTTTAAGTGTTTGTGTTTTTTGTTTGTTTTAGTTTAGTGTTATGTGTGTTTTCGGTTTTTCTCTCCTTTTTGGAGTGTGTTCTTTGTCGTATCCCTAGGTAGGAGTATTTTCGTCTTCCTTTTGGAGTTTTTTTTAGTCTCTTAGTTGTGTTTGTTTGGTAATTTTTGTTTTCTCTGGCCGTGGAGGGTCGTGTAGGATAACACATGTTGTGTTCTCCTCTGTTTGGTTTCCTTTCTAGTTTAGGCTAGTACAAGATATCAAGTCTAATCCGTTGATTACCGATTTGTAATTCGTGGTAATACAATTCGTTATTTAGCATAAAAATATATATAGTTAGTTAGTTAGTCTTATTTTCCAATAGAGACCCTTCTTCATGTATAAAAAAATCCAGTGTAATCTGGCCAACTGTGATGGGGTTGTAATTGCGTGATTTTTTAAATTACTGTCCTATTTTGCCAAAATGAAAAGAAAGTGTCCTACTTCGGCAACTTACGGGGCAGAAAATGCAATTTTGCCGTGCGCGATGTGCACATAACTTGATTCTTCTATTTAATTCTACACTGGCTGGTAACCCTTTTTTTTTTTTTTTTT